GGGGGCAGGGCGGCGGCCTGGACCTGGCGCTTGCTCCGGGCGTGCTCGATGCTGTACGTCAACACCAGGACGATGGGGCGGAGCTTGTCCCGGATGCTGTCCTGCAATGAGGGAGCAGGGGGCTGAGCCCGCGGCAGGCCGGGGGGCGGGGGCAGGGAGGTGGGGCTGGGGCAGCAGGACCCACCTGCAGCTGGAAGGTGGCCTTGACGCAGGCAGGGGCACGCTGGTGGGGCAGCTCCACCACGTCCGAGAACTGGTGTTCGGGGTCCGTGGGCTTCCGGTCCAGGAAGGCGACTCTAGGGGCCTGGCCCAGCTTCCGCCGGTCCACGTCAGCGTCCAAGGTGTACGCGAGCGCTGGGGGCGGAGGGAGGGAGGGCGGGCATGGGCTCTGCTGCGCCTTCCATTCCTGGGGGGATTGCTCACCCCTCAGCAAAATGCAGCCACCTCTGGGGCGGGCATGGCAGCTGTTTAAACGGGGATCTGTCACCCAGTGCTGAGATGCAGCCACCTCTGGGGTAGGGCTCCCCGGGTAGCTTAGAGCACCCTCAGGGTTGCTCTGGGTTGTGTCCTGCTTCCCTTAGCATCCTCTGGGCTCTGGGAGACAGAGAACAGCCGTGGGGCAGCGTGCTCTGGGCGTCTCCCTGTGCCGGGTCTGGGAGCAGGGCCGATGCAAGGGGGGTATTCTCAGGTGGTATCCTCCCCCCCCCCCCTCAGCGCGGCACGTCCAGGCCTGGGGAGTGCAAGGCCTGGCCCGGCCCAGCCCGGCAGTACTCACTGACACGGGGGCTGTAGCTGGCAGGACTGGCCGTGTAGCTGAAGCAGGCTCGCACTTCCACGCTGCACAGGGAAACCACAGAAAGGCTCGGCCTGAGACAGGGCCGACGTCAAACCAGCTGTCCCTCCCGGCTAGGGGGACTCAGCACCCTACCCTCCGGGGAGGAGGAGGAAGAGCAGGGCCAGCTGGTTCCCTGCAGAACCCGGCGCTGAGCAGCCGCTGGGACCAGGAATTTGCCCCTTTCGTCGGGGTCAGAGTGCACCGCTGCCCTCGAGATGGGAAACTGAGGCAGGGATTGGCCCAAGGCCCAACAACAGGTCAGTAGCAGAGCTGGGCACAGAACCCAGGAGTCCTGGCTTCCAGCCCCCCTGCTCTAACCACCAGATCCCACTGCCCTTCCAAAGCTAGGGAGAGAACCCAGGAGTCCTGGCTCCCTGCCCTACTCCCTACCGGCTCTAACCGCTAGACCTCCCTCTCTCCCTGGGTGTGGAAAGTGTGCGTGGCTGGCGGGGGTCGGGGGTGATACAGGCACAGCTCTGGATCCCAGGGAGCCTGGGAGTGGGGGCAAGGACGGGCAGCCCCCTCCCCAGGCCCGCTCTCACCAGATGCCCAGGTGGTGGGGGCAGTTCCTGCTCTCCAGGTCGATGTTCGGGGGGGAGAGGGAGACGTTCTTAGAGACGTGGATGACGGGCCGGGCTCTGCAAAGCAAGAGGGGAAACCGCTGGCAAAGGCGCCCGGCCGGCCCGCGCCCCGGCTACACCAGGCCTCCAGCTCTGCATGGTGTGCGGGGCCCAGCCCCTCCGCACGCCGGGCATGGGTGGAGCCGTCGGCTGCGCCAGCATCGCCCAGGGGACTGATCCAGCCGGACGCAGTGCAACGCCCGGGGCTGGAGGGACCAGAGTCCCACCAGGCCATGCCCTGCCCAGCACACGGCTCCCTCCCTCGGCCTGGGGCGGCCAGCGCAGCGGGCAGTGCCCACCTGTACAGCACCACGCTGTCCGAGAGCGAGCCAACGAGCAGGTCCGGGTAGAGATTCCCGTCGATGTCCAGGCCCCCGGACAGGGAGTAGCCGAAAGTCCTCACCCCAACGCCTTCCCCGTCCAGGACCTGCAGGGGGACAGACGGACGGACAGAGAGCTGGGGAAGCAGCAGCTGCCTCTTGGGGGCGGAGCCGCCAGTGTTTAGGACAGGAAGTGAAGGGGGATCCTGGACCCCAGGGGGCCGGCGGGAGAGGGGCTTAGGAGCCTGTGGACCCCACAGTTCAGTGACACCCTCCAACCCCCGTGCCCTGTTTACGCCCTCTCACCTGGGCCGGTTTGGTGACGATGCCCAGGCTGCTGCCGTGGTAGATATAGACCTTGCCGGCTCCATCAAATGGGGCTCCCACGGCGATGTCTGTGGGGGGAGGGGGGCAGGGTTATGGCTGGAGCAGGCCAAAAGCGGGTTGTGGGCCCCCTGGGCACTAGGGCCAGAGCAGTTCCCCTGCCCAGAGCTGGATATGTGCCAAGTGGGGGGGGGGTGTCCCTCCCTCCTGCAGGGGCAGCTCCGTTCCTCAGACCCCGTAACCCAGCTGAGCAGCCAGCCCCATTGCCCCCCCCAGCCCATACCCACAGGGGGAGCCCCCCAAGGGACGGCACCGGGACCCCAGGTCAGCACCAGCCAGGCTCCCCCCGATCCCCCCTCCCCCGGCTGCCCGGCCCCTCACCCTGGAAGCCGTCCTGGTTGAGGTCGCCGAGGGCGGCGAGGCTGATGCCGAACATGGAGCGGGAGGTGCCGTTGAGGCGGATGGGGCGGGCGCCCGCCCAGCGCCCCGCCTGGTTGATGTACACGTAGGCTGCCCCGCCGATCTCCTCCTGCCGATCGAAGAAGTGGGGCGCCCCCACCACCAGGTCCATCCAGCTGGGCAGGGGCAGAGGGCAGCAGGGTCAGGCCCGGCCCCTGCCAGCGCCCGCCAGCCCCGGCGCTGCGGGGCTCCGAGCGGCGGCCACGTCCTGACCCCCCAGCCCCCGGCTCACCCGTCGCTGTTCAGATCCACCACGGCCACGGCGTAGCCGAAGGAGGAGGTGAGCTGCTCCCCGGGCAGGACGGCCTCGGGCACCAGGCGGTTCACGTTGTCCCGCCGCAGGATCAGCACGGCCCCCGTGTGGTTGGCCCGCGGCGCCCCCGTGACAAAGCTGAGCTGGTCCTGCCGGGTCAGGCCCTTCCCCGAGTCGACGGAGAAGCCTGGAGTGGGGGGCAGAGCGACAGGCAGGGTTGGTGCTGCTGGGGGGGTGGGAGGGTCCCCCAGGGCTCCTTAGAAGCAGGGGGCCAGGGACTGCCCTGGCCCTACTCTCAGCTCGGGTGGGGTGAGGCCAATCGCCCCCCCCCAACACTCGCTGAGCCCCCCACTGCTAGATCCCGGGTGGGAGGGAATAGATGGGTTCTGTCCAACGCCGCGCCCTTGGCCAGCGCAGCCCGGGGGTCCGTGGGCCCCACACCAGCCAGACACACCGAGACCACTGCCCCCTGCTGGGTGGGATCAGCACGGCTCCTGCGTGTGGCAGAGGCTCTGTACTGCGCAGAGCTAGTGGGGATTCCCGTGCAGCTGCCGCAGCAGGGGCTAGGCTGGAAGGACCTGGCGCCTAACCCGTTGCACGCTGAGCCAGCACGGGGCCGCCGGAGGCCAGGCCATGAGCCGGGGCAGGACCCCACACCTGGGGCTCTTTGAGGCCGCATGGACACCCCCCCGCTGGGGAGAGGAGAGGTTTGGCTAATACACACCAAGCCCAAACAAGGCTCCCAGGGGCTGGACAGAGCTGGGGGCGGGGGTCTGGGAAGCACCAGATGTGGACTCCACCCACTCATCCTCAACCCCACAGGGTGGCCTAAAGCCAGACCCCCCACCCCCTCCTCCATATCGGGGGGGGGGGGGCGCCAGATCACACTGATCCCCAGCGCCCGGCCCCTCTGCTGCTCTGTGTCTGTCTGTCTGTCTCTCTCTGCTCAGCCCCCCCAGCCGGGATACAGCCACGGGGGTGGGAGGATGCGGGGGCCAAGGGGAGCGACCAGGAAGCTGGACACGCCTCATATTTCAGATACCAGAGTCCCGGCCCGGTCCCCAGGCCCAGCGTTGGGGGGCAAGGGCCAGCTAGCAAACACCTGGCAGGGCGGGGGAGGGGTGACAGTTCTGCAAAGGGCGGGGTCCCCTGCAGTGCTCAATGGGCAGGGGGGGAGGATTGCACAAAAACAGCAGCTGAGTGAGCCCTCCCCCCCCCCACTAACATGTCTCTGCTCTACCCTGGCCTCCGGCTGCCCCTCGCCGTGCCTCAGTTTCCCTGTGGTGCTCTCTAATAGCACATTGGACCACTCAGGAATTTCCAGGAGGGTGGGGGGTGTCTGGTGGTTAGAGCTGAAAGAGGTGGGGGTGGGAGTCAGGACTCCTGGGTTCTATTCCAGCAGCTCCAGGGATGCTGTCAAGCCAGCGGCTCCCCCGGCTGGTTGCTGAGCGCCCCCCCGGGATGATGCCAGGCAGGGCGTGCCCGTGCGACGGCCGAACCAGGCGCTGCTCCGTGGTGTCCGTCTCTGGGGCCCAGGCCGGCAGCGGGTCAGCGCGTGGGAGCTCCCTGCAGGCAGGAGTGGGGGCGATGGGGGGGCAGCAGCCAGGGCTCAGCGAGGGGGAGCACGTCCTGCTGGCATGCGCTGGGGAGAGCCATGCACCCCCGAGCAGAGCGACACCCCCCCACATCCCACAGGACACACCGCATGCAACACACAGCCCAGGCAGCACCTCGGGGACCTTTCCAGGCTCCGCGTCCCTCTCCCACAGGGATCCCCAGCCCCCAAACGGCTGTTGACAGAGTGGTGCTGACCCCCCTCCCGTCTGCAGCCCCCCACAACACCCCCCCAGCACTGCAGCCAGCCCGGATGGGGCCCAGCGCCCGTCCCCGGAGCCTGGAACATTCCCCGACGGCACGGGCACAAGACGCTCACGCCCGGCAGCAGAGCCGGCCTCCCCCGGCGCTGGGGCTGCCCCTGCTCACGGCCTCCCCCGGGCACCCAGGGGGGCAAGGGACGGTGCTAGCACCTGGTGCCGTAAGGGGCAGGGGCTGCCCTGAGCAGGTGTCCCCAGGGATCCTCCCCCCTGCTCGGGGCCTGGGGACAGCGGGATGCCCTCTGAGCGCGGCAGGGTTCATGCCCCCTCCCCCTCCCCGGTGCCACAGCCAGCAGCAGAATCCGTGTTCCCCGGGCAATGAGCACCAGGACGTGTAAATCCCTGGGCACTAGCATCCAGCCTGGCACGCGCAGCCGCAGAGTGGGGGGGGGGCTGCGGGGGAGAACCGTGCAGAGACGGCTCCGAAATGGGGAGAGGGAAGTGGGGGGTGGGTGTGCGTGTGGGGTGTGTGTGGGGTTTGTGTGCTCGTGTCTGTGCACGGGCAGAAACGGAGGTGTCTGTGCAAGGACGGTTTGTGCACACACATGGGGACGTGCCTAGGGAGGGGCAGGGGTAATTGCAAACGGGGGTGTGGGGCTGCGTTCAGGGAGGGGCATCAGTCACCTTCTCCTCCCATATCCTACATTCCCCCCCCCCCGCTATGGGGCAGGACTCGGGCATGGCGCCCCCCGCTGGCCCAGGAGCAGAAAGGAGTTTTCATTTCCCCTCAGCTCCAAATGCCAAGAGGAGAACGCCGAGCTCGGGGGTGGGGGGCAGGCGGCGTCCCCGGGGGCAGCACAGAGCCGGGGTCCCGGCCGGCCGCTCGCTGACAGGCGGGCACCACACACCGCCGCGGTTACAAACCTAAGTTGCTATTCTGGGCCACGTCGCCGACGGTGCCGGGCAGCCGCTCGCCAGGCTCTGCCGTTTTATACACCAGCTGATCGGGGTCTGCGCTATGAACGTTTGTCATAAACAACAGACCTGTGGGGCCGCGCCAGGCCGGGGGGCGGGGGCGGGGAAAGAGAGAGAGAGAGAGAGAGTTAAAGGATGGAGACCCCTCCCCACCCAGGCAGTGGGGAGCCCCGGGCGAGGGAACCGAGGGGTCGGCCCCCCGAGCAGCAGAGACTCTCCTGTTGCCCCATTTCCCTCGCTGATTTCCTTCCCCGCGGGCCTGGGGGCCAAAGACTCAAACGGTTGCTGCCAATGGCCAGGGGGCTGGTTCGGCCCTCGTGCCCGGCCCTGCCCGCCGCCTGGCGGCGCTCCCTACCGAAGTAGCTGTTGGCAGGCACAGGGATGAGGGAGGGGTCCTGGTCCTTCTCCCCCCCGGCTTCGTAGGGCCCGTCGTCGTAGGTAACCAGCTCCAGGGAGCTCTGGTTAACCAGCTCCACGCGCAGGTCCCCTGCCAAACCAGAGAGGGGTTAGTGGGGGTAGGGTGGCACGGGGGAGGACGGGGGGCAGGGATGGCACGGGGGGG